AGCTAAGAAGTTTAAAACCCTATGATCTTTAAGATGAACATTTACCAACTTAAATACTAATATGTTAACTACAGCATACACAAACCTAGTGAGATCCAGCTCGAAAAATGCGCTCAGGCTGCAAGTTTTTGTTTAAAAGGAACTTGGATACCTTGGTAAAAGTACAGAGGAAGTCTTCCCCGAGCACTTCTCGAACTCTGGCGTCTGCCACAAAATGAGCGACTTGAGAAGCTATACCTCTTTTGTCTGTCGTATCGCAGATTGAAAATGAGCTAATTGTGATGTATAGAATAATAAAAAATGATTTTGTATCTGATATGTCCTCTCTTTTTCCTCCTACCAGATCAAGAATAGGCAGACAACATGCTGAGCGAGTAGAAAAGCCAAGAACAAACAAAATTCATTTAATATACAGGTTTTCACATCGAGTCACCAATCCTTGGAACCGGTCACCAGAAGAAATGGTGTCTGCCCCTTCGATTGACTCATTCAACAGAAAACCAGACACTCTCATAAGCTTAGTATTAAAGAACTAACACAAGCTGTAGGCCCCTTGCCCTCAATACACAAATCTAAATCTGAATCAGGATTAGGATTAGGATTTAGAGTTGTATATAAGCGTTGGAGATTAGTTGCCTGCTTGATTTGGAATGCCTAGGTACCATGCAAAACCAACATAGTCATAAAGTTACTCATTCTAACCCCTTTACAAACAATTTGCAGTAGACATTTTTCATGCTAGCTGTGACTACTAATGTTGAGTTTAATGAGGTTTATTCAAAACGTGTTTTCTGCGTTAAGATTATCGGTAAATCTCTCCATGAAACTACGAAGACAGAGATAAAAATTGGGCGAGGGTTTATTGATGCGGAAAAATCAGTTTAGAAGTTGGATATATAGTTAAATTAAAAATACTACTGCAAAGAATTTCTTATAGTAAACAGTTCCTGTCACGTCTCTACATTTTTTTATATTCTGATCCATATTTTCTATCGTAAGGATTAATATACAAACACAAGCGTTATAGAAACTACAGTCTTACCTACTTATTGATGATTCTTGAGCAGAACCTGGCCCCGTCGAATCTGTACATACCGTTTGCTTCGTCTTAGTAATGGAATTGTTGTGTTATTATGGAGGGTGTGTATGTTAGATAGCTTCCATCGACTACAATGTCCAAGAATATAACGAATCATACAATTCGTTTTTCGTAAATGATCGAGCTTACCTGTATGAATTCGTCTTCTTATGTACTCTAGTAGCATACAATCCAAGGAGTCCGGAATATCACAATTTATCCACGATCCACGTTACATTTGCTCGCAATTCCAGGCAAACAAAACAGGACTCTCACGATCAAAATCATCCGTTATTACCAACTGAAATAATGAATATCTACGAAGTAGAATCGATCAAACAGCAATCTACTTTCGGCGTGAATGTAATGGGTGAGAAGAAAAAAATTATTCTGCCCTACGTTTTGGAATCCCTTTAGCACACTATCGAATTCAATCCAGTTTCCGAAATGCCTGTCCAGTATTGTACGTTAAAACGGATCGCTTACGTCGACAAAAATATCTCATGGATATGAAGCATCACGGAGTAATTACTAAAAATCAGTTATTCATCGCAACAACACTTTATTAACTGGAGAAATTACTAACATTTAAAAATTACGGGTTGTTTGACATTTCGTCTTAATCCTCGAGTCAAGCAGTGGTCCAGATAAATTTCACGCATCTAAAACTGTTAAGTTACTCTTATATTTGTTACGTTGTTTTCTGGATCCTATCAAGTTTTAAACAAAGACGGTGAGCTTCAGTAATGAATTTGGTATCCCAGATCAAGTTACAAAGCAATAATTGAGCCAACGTGTGCACTATAAGGCAGAGAGAGCCAAATTAATGTTCTTCGCAATGATTTTGTGGTTTTGCTGCAGCAAAAGATCAATTAAATATGAGGACACTTAATATGCGTGCAACTCAACCGACAACCAACTAACCCCACAGCAATTTGATTACGAACCCAACGACAAAACGGTAAGGAAAATCTCCGGTTAGTGTGTTTTTGAATAGTCAGGTCTTGAAAGCGAATGCTATCAAGGCCTGTGTGGATAGGCCGTTCTCCCCAGGAGTTTTATATGCCAACGCTCGTGGTCTAAGTAATAAATTCGATGAACTAGAAGCATTGGTGTACAAATTAGGGATACTCATTGTAGCCGTGACAGAAACTTGGTTGGTCCATGACTTTGACATCATTCCAGAATTATCCGGATACCACTTGCTAAGAGGTGATGGACATAGATGCAGGAAAGGAGGTGGAGACCTTTTATACATAGCCAATAATATAAATATCCGCTCCTCTGTTTGAGAGTCCAATGATAATGGAATTTGTGAAGTCACTATCTATGAGCTCACTATCGGATGTTGTAAATTTATACATGATATCATCTATTGCAGCTAATTCTGCTTAGCTGATGACTTTGTTTTAGAGCACACTCAGCTATGGAGTGCAAATAACAGATGGTTGATATTAGGAAACTTTAATGCAGCTGATATTAATTGGACAGAGATGACCACGGAAGGTTCTATGAAGTCCTTTGATGATAGGTTTCCGATAACATTAATGGAACATGCCCCAGTACAGCACGGATCCAAACACATACGTTTTGGTGCAATACAAGGTTCTTCTCCGTTGGACTTGGTAATCACTCATGCGACTGAGGGTATTGCCGACTTAAATATTCTTCCACCGTGAGCGAATAGTGACCACACTGTTTTATCATTCACTTTCAGAGCTAGTGACATGATATACGACCAGGTTAAGCCTCGCCCAAATGTGTGGAGAGCTAACATATCAGCCGTTTAGGAGTGCGTTGCTAAGACAGATTGGTCAGTGGGTACTAGCTCATCAGTTGAAGAGGCATAGTCTGTATTTAAAGGCAAGTTTTGTTCAGTTACATCCTCGTTCATACCGTACCTGGTACTACATAGACCGAAGAAAAGTCCACCATGAATAACTAAACAAGTGAAGAAACTTCTTAGATGTAGGAAAAAGCACTGGAATATGTTCATCTCTGTTGGCTAAGGACGGATCCAGTTACTGTAAGATTAGGAATGCTAGTAAAGCGTTAATAAGTATGACTAGACGGTCATATGAAAAACAATTGGCTAGGGATTGTAAATATGGTCTGAAAGTTAGTCTCGTATATAAAAAGGCAAATTCAGGGAGGCGATGGAATTCCACCACTTTTGATACAATAAAATCCGTTAATATCTGGAAGAAATGACATAAAAAGCGGAAGCCTTATCGGAATATTTCAATAATGTGTTTTCTATCAGTAATGAAGAACGAACAACGATTCATTGTGATCGTGGCGGCTCGCTGATGGACCTCGTAGTCATTGAGAAAGGTACTGTTTCAATACTACCTCAGCATCTCAAACCTGATAAGTCCGATGGGCCTGATGATATTCATCCTAGGATTGTGAAAGCCATGTGAGATGTAATTGCTGTACCTTTGGTGATACTGTTTGATATGTCTCTACAGCAGTCCAGATTGTCCAGAGACTAGAAAGACGCGATAATTAGATCGGTGCATAAGGCTGGGAGTAGAGATATAGTTAGTAACTATCGACCCGTTAGCGTAACTGGTGCAGTTGTAAAACTAATGGAAAAATTATTCGGATAGCTGTTATAAACTATGTGAAAGGGCATAATTTTTTATCCAGGGAACAACAAAGTTTTCGGAGAGGCCTATCATATTTGACAAATCGTTTCGCAAGAGAAGATTGAGATGCGGCAAAAGATAGAAATGTTTCTGCAAATGTGATTCTCAAAGATCTGATTAAATCCTTCGATAAGGTCTCTTATTCTGGTCATAAATTAAAACTGGAAGGTTCTGAAATCCATTATACACTCATAGACTGGATAAGTGACTTTCTCTATGACAGGAGGCAAAGGGTAAGGGTAAATGAATCTCTTTCATCATGGGAACCTGTAAACAGTTCAGTTTTCCAAGGCACAATCCTCGGTCTCTTTTCTTTTTACTTTATATAAATGAATTACCAACTCATACACTGCATGTCAGATAGAATCGTATTATTGGATGATCACAGATCATTGGTGGCATGGTTGGACAGGTGGTCACCAGAAGTAAATCGTGACAAGAGTGTGGTGATGCAATAAAATAACTGTGATGTTTCGTATCACTACACAATATGTGGATTCGTGTTACCCAAAGGAAGAAACTATAAAATTTAGGAGTCGTAACAAGCAGTGATCTCAAAACTACCAGTCACTGAAAGGCTGTTAATACAAAAGTCTATAGGATATTATTGTCTATTCGCACATCTTTCTAGTATTTGGATGATGAGATGTTTAGATTATTATTCCCGACTTTTGCGCGACCGCATTTGGAATATGGGATTCAAGCAGCCAGTCCTTGCTTTAAGTGTGAGGTGGATATGCTGGAATGAGTTCAACGACGAGGGACTAAGATGGTAAAAGGTCTATCTGGCCTACCTTATGAAGACAGATTGAGACAGCTTAACTTGTTTCATTGATCTTACCGTAGAATATGGGGTGATCTAATATTGGCTTATCGTTTACTGAAAAATAATCTTAGTATTAATATGTCTTATCTTTTCCTAGCGTCTAGGACTGATAATTTGAGAGGATATTAAAAGAAAGTTCGAAAGCAGAGATCAAATAATCTACGTCTGGAGTTTCCTTTCTCGCACTGAGTAGCGATTTATTGGAATTCTCTGCCGGAAAACGCACTATCAGCATCTTTTGTTGATATGTTCAAAACGAAATTGGATCTCCACAGTGTTACAAACTGCAAGGATTAATATAGGTCTGTAAACCTCCTATCCTTATTACTGAAGACTGAAACGGCCGGCTCATGTCAGACCGTTCAAGGTCGTTTAAACGAAACGGTGGGCAGTTTTGAGCCAACCTGACTTTTTTGCTGTCACTGTGTCAACTCATCGGTACATCATGTCCCGTCCACCGTCCAACTTCTCTTGGGTTTCGAAATCTGTCGCCGGGTTCGCCTTTCCACGAGAAAAGTATGAGCTAGAATATCTAGTAGACAACGCTGGGATAAGCCATATAATTACTTTGTGTCATGAAGTTCCCCAGTACATTTCGGACTTCACGTGTAAGTTAATCAGATTGTGCGATGTTTTATTGGTTATTTACGACAAATAAAATTCTATATCAGTCTAGTTCCTATGCATACATGGTGCTGCGGTACCCACAATCACCAGGTAGCTTTGGAGATTTCAGTTCGAAGTACTCTTCGTTAAGAATGCTAGTATGACGGCTTTCTCTTTGTTCTGTCGAGTTCATCCGGACTGACTAATGATGTTTGTGGACATATTGCCAATCATAATTTCATATATCCAGACGTAACCTAGTTACCTAAATGACATCATGGAAGTAGTAAGTTGATTGGGCATGTTTTGTGTACGATGTATTGTACAACACATTAAAGGAGATATACCACAAAATCAGCTAACTGACCATTAATGTCATTTAGAAGTCATGTACATTTGTTCTCCGCACTTCTAGGAAAATTTAGTTTCGTCATCAATGGTCGAGGTCAGCGACAGTGATTCAGTCTGTCTGGATATATTTCCTTTATTTATTTTATCTATTTGAACACACTAAAACATGATAAACTACCTACTTATGGATATGTTTCACGAAGCCATCATAGTAACTTCAACACCATGCACCATATATCCTGACTCAGTTTAGGTGGTAAGAGCTCAGAGGTATTCAGCTGATAACATTGAACCGTTATAGGAAAAATAATTCAGATTTGCCAATCATAGTTTTCGAGTACTTGATTTTTAGTCACACCACTTTTGAGGCATAGTCATACTTGTTGCTGTTACTCAAACCAAAGCAGTTATTAATTTCATCTCAAGGTTTATTTAGATCACAATGAATATATATGTACCACTTTGACCCTTTTTATACCCTCGTTTACCATCCTTAATCCTTAGCATTACCCACTTGGTGCTTCCATAATTTCTAACACCTATCAGTAATCCATATGGCCATAAAATCTGTTAATCATCAAAGCATAAGTTAAGGAATCTAACTAGCCGAGCATTCGTAAAATTATCTGTGTCCTAAACCTCTAAATGATAAATATTTAGCCAATGCTAGGTCTAGAAATAACCTTTATTAAGTTTTTATTTATTTAAACAAATAGGTATTGGTACAAGGAGGCACCAAGTACAAATGCGCCACACGAATCTCAATTGGTTTGTGCGAGGGCTGTGATACTGCTCGGGTGCCCAAACCGAAGCAGGTGGTTTTCTTAGGAGGCCACACCCCGAGCCTTTGACCTGAACGTCTGATCCACAAGGCAGTGGAGCATCGTGAGGAAATGCAGTCCCATGGTAGCCGGTGACCAACGATTGGTTCATACGCCATTTGTTCCTTCAGGATACTGGAGCCCATGTGCACCATTGGTTTGGGATCCGGTTAAAGCGCCGGACATTCGCTTTTCGTCCTCTCATTTTTGTAAACAACACCCCCGTCACGTGAAGGCAGTGAGTAGGACTTCCCTGGCAGGGGCTATATACGCGTGGCCATGTGAGAGCATTTCGAGAGGGAGAGCGGACTCTCCCCACTCTCGGCCGTACCAGGGCATTTGGGAGCTAAGTGTTGGGTGATAGTAACTGATATTGTCTTAGGTTCATTATCAGTCTTATGGACTCCTTTGTGGTTGTCACACTAGGATTTTCATCCTTGTTTATAAATCGGAATGATCGTTGGTCACAATCAGTTGGGAAAAATTATATCCCAGTTCCCATTCTCCAACTTGTCAGTCAGCCTAACTGCTGAAGATAGACCTCAGAAAACAACTAATCCGCTGTCATATTTCACTTCGAGTCATTGCCTTCTCGATTTCTGTGAGATCAGGTAGTGCTCTACTGTTCAGGCTGTCAGTGAATACTGGGTAGTTAAACTGTAGCTTGATATCAGTTAAGCTGTTGCAGTGTTTTCTGCTCGTAATTCTGGTTGCTCGATTTGAAAGTAGTCCATTTCTTCGCTAACAACCTACTTTTTATCCCTTATCACCCTGAACAACTGCTTCATGTTACCCATCACCACTACTGTTCCCATTTTTTTGTTTTTGTTACCCACCACCTCTCGATTACCGTGTAGTCTTTGTTCGTTTCTATTTCGATCTTCTTTGCTCCCTCATTAGTAATAGACGCACTGATAAATTTCTAAGCATATACTAGTCTAGCAGAACCTCCAAAGGTCGATTGGCCTTCGTTAACCTTTTGCTGCTGTTTTACTTTTGTTAACATGCTTCACTTATAGTGAAGACTAAATATCCGTCTACCAACCAAAAGACGAGTATACAGTTCATCATTTCTGTTTTACTTTGTTATGTCCATAAGATGATTTTGAAGCATTGTTCGTATATTTTGGGAGCACCGAGTGGACAATGTTGGTGCTAAGCGAGGATAGAATGTCATTTGATGAAGTAGGGGATCTTCATCAACTGAGGTAGTTAGAACATGTAATACGTATGCTCAACCACCGTCTACCTTAACGCACATTGTTTGTTGGCGTACGAGTTAGTTGGAACATAGCTAGGGGTGACTGAACCAAGACGTGGCGTCAGTTCATAAGACCGTTGACTGTTGGACTGAGCCGTATGGAATACCTGTTTGTGGTCCACGAGATTGTCGTAACTAGTGGCTAAATGTTTATTTATTTTAACACATAGATATTGGTACAAGGAGGCACCAATTACGTTTGCGCCACACAAATCTCATTCGATATGTGTGAGGGCTGTGATACTGCCCGGGTGCCCAAACCGAAGCAGGTGGTTTTCATAAAGGGCCACACCCCGAGTCTTCGACCTGAAGATCTGATCCACTAGGCAGTGGAGCGTCGTAAGGAAATGCAGTCCCATGGTAGTCGGTGATCGAAAAATTGGTTCATACGCCATTTGTTTCCTCAGGATACTGGAGCCCATGTGCACCATTGGTTTGGGATCCGGTTATAGTGCCGGACATTCGCTTTTCGTCCTCTCATTTTCGTAAACAACACCCCCGCCACGAGAAGGCAGTGAGTAGGACTTCCCTGGCAGGGGCTATATACGCGTGGCCATGTGAGCGCAATTCGAGAGGGAGTGGACTCTCCCCACTCTCGGCTTTACCAGGGCATGTGGGGGCTTCACGATTGTATATGAACTCGTTATCCCACTACACGAGCACAGTGAAATGAAGTTGACAGGATGAATACTAAAGCGATCTAAATGATAACACTATGCAGTAGTAAAAATACCAAGGACTGAGAATATCTTTTTAGAAGAAATAAGGGATTATAAAGTATAGAGTACTTTTAAAACTCATATTATAAGGGGAGATAAGAAAATGAACGATTCTCCACCATTGTGGCCACTTTTGAGCTATACTGCCTTATGTTTACAACCACTGATCAAGATTATCACGTTAACCTTGACCTGATACATGCTTCAGACCAGTAGTTAGTGACTTGACGGAGTGATACCACATCTTGTTATAATATTTCCTATCTTTTTTCTTACTACATTAGGCAATACAGTAAGTAGTGGTTATGCCAGACCTCTCAGTCGGTAGAAATTCACATCGAGGGAACTCTAAGCTTTGGTAAAACGCATCTTTGGTCTCGTTCGAGCTGTAATCAACGGGAACGTGTGCAGAGTCTATTTTTATTCTAGCAAGTTTTTGCTGCTCGTCGAATCATGTAACGCCCCCAAATGCCCTGGTACGGCCGAGAGTGGGGGGAGTCCGCTCCCCCTCTCGAAATGCTCTCACATGGCCACGCGTATACAGCCCCTGCCAGGGAAGTCCTACTCACTGCCTTCTCGTGGCGGGGGTGTTGTTTACAAAAATGAGAGGACGAAAAGCGAATGTCCGGCGCTTTAACCGGATCCCAAACCAATGGTGCACATGGGCTCCAGTATCCTGAGGAAACAAATGGCGTATGAACCAATCGTTGGTCACAGGCTACCATGGGACTTCATCTCCTCACGATGCTCCACTGCCTTGTGGATCAGATCTTCAGGTCGAAGGCTCGGGGTGTGGCCCCCTAAGAAAACCACCTGCTTCGGTTTGGGCACCCGAGCAGTATCACAGCCCTCACACATATCAAATGAGATCTGTGTGGCGCATATGTATTTGGTGCCTTCTTGTACCGATATTTATGTGTTAAAATATAATAATAAATAAAATAAATAGAATTATGTAACACAGTAACACTACTACTGACGCCGAAAATCTGCGTAAGGGCACAATTTTGGAGATGTTAGTTGTCCTCGGTAAACATCTTACTACTTCCTTATAGCTTGATTGTGTCATCAGAACTGGCAAACAAGACCACTACGTCAAAATAGCAGCATTTATGATAAGAACTGGTTTATGAAATACCCAGGTCAAATATAATGATTCTCATTTTTTAGTTTTTATGAAAATTTTTCAAGCTGTGGTCTCTAATATCAAGTGTTTATCAGGAGTTTTGCAATTTTCTGAAAGTAAATTCTCAAGCTGGTTGAAATAAAATTTTTTAGTTGAAGTACAAAAATGAAAACATGATTATGTTTGATAATCCTGTACTTCATTGCGTAATCTTGTCAAAATATAGTTAAAGAAATACGTCTTCATGAGTAAATGTACTAGATTTAGAAATATCTCATCATTTGAATTTAAATTTTCTTTAGAAGCATACTATTTATCGAATTTTCATTCTTAGCGGTTAAACATTATCACTTACCTGTCGAAGATTTAACTTCTGCAAGTTTGCCTGTTATTCAGAAAGCAATGGAAATTATCAAACAAGCTGAAACAAATAATGAAGTGAGCTCTAATTTACACTTGAAAAGAAGTCTTTATTATGATATGAAGTCGGTTTATAGTCCAATAAATATTTTGCTTTATACTATTAAAATAATTAGCTCCTCTGATAAGTTTGAATAGTGTGATGAGAAAACGAAGGTTATCAAGATTATGTGATATACTTGCTCAATGCGTCTCGAACAATCTGACCACGCATTTACTTATTAAGAGATTATGTATAAAAAAATGAAAGGTCAACCATGATAATTAGAAGGTAAAAGGAAACAAAGATAATAATAAAGTACACGATGTGAAAACCAGTTTAGACAGCGAATTAGTATCACCGGGGAGGGTTAAGAGTAAGAAGAAATTGTTTTTGAACACGTAAAACGGTTACAGTTTTCGCATAGCCAAGGATTTCAACAAACCTTAGTATAATACTACAAAGGCTGACTTGATATCGACCTTATGACCGGTCTCAACTAAATGTTTCGTAACGGAGGAAGATATTTGTCTATCCTGTGATCTTACTTGACCATTGGGACTCACTGGCTTTGTAGCCATTTAAGCGTGTATTCAGCCATCTTTACTTGCAGATCACGATTGCTCCTCCCTATGTATGTTTCCACACTTACATATAAAATGATAGACTCAATAGGATGTGCCACAACCGTTTACACGGTGGTCAGGTTTTTGATGAAATTTGTTTATACTCTTAACCCACTGTGGTAATTTTGATTCGTTATCCAGTGGTTTTCACATCGCGTACTTTGTTATTATCTTTACTCACTTCTACCTTCTAGTTAGTATAGTTGACCTTTTATTTTTCATGCATAATCTATTAATAAGTAAATGTGTGGTCAGATTGTTCGAGATGTATTGCGCATACATATATTGCATAATCCTGGTAACCTTCGTCTTTTATTTATTTATTTTAACACATAAATATTGGTACAATGGCACCAGATACATATGCACCACACAATAATAATGAGACTGTGAACAGATAAGGAATGTAAGGTGCGTATAAGATAAAGGGGAACAATAACGAACAGAAATTAATGTATGATAGTTAAGTAATAATCATAATAATAATGGGACAGTTCAATTAGCAAAAGTACAGCGAGTGAGAATTCTCCCAGTTAAGAAGTTATATTTCTTTCATACTACGACACCATGTCATACACTGATCACCTCTCCGCTTTTCCCAATCAGTCCCGGTGTCGGCAAATAATGCGCAACATGGAATTCTCTGGGACGACATTCGTAGAACATGTCCAAGATACCAAAGTCGATGTTTCAAGGTGGTGACACTAATTGGATTATCGTCTCTGTGCCTGAACACACGATGCCGAACATCTGCATAACTAACATGGTGTTGCCACTGGATGTCAGCAATCCTTCGGAGACAGCGATGATCAAACACAGAGTCGTCTAACATCCTCAGCTCGGAGAGGCCAGGTTTCACAAGCATAGGGGAAAACTGCTCTCACTGACGCGTTGTATATCCGACCTTTTACAGCCAGACTGACATCACGAAGGCGCCAAAGATGGCCCAGATTGGCATAAGCCACTCTGGGTTTCATTATACCTGAATCGATCTCATCACTCACGCCACCACCAGCACTTATGCAGCTACCCAGATACACGAACTTTTCGACTAGCATCTTCTCACTACCCAGGGTGAGTGCAGGAGAAGGGTTCTGCCAGTTTTGTAAAAGTACTTTGCACTTCGAAGGTGAAAAGCACATACCATATCTGCGAACACCAATTGCTAACTGATTAAGTGCGGATTGCATGGCGTTGGTATTATGGCACAGTAAGACAATATCATCCGCATACTCAAGGTCGAGAAGTCTTTCTCCAGGCAACAGATCCACACCGCCATTATTTGTTTATTTTAACACATAGATATCGGTACAAGAAGGCACCAAATACATATGCGCCACACAGATCTCATTTGATATGTGTGAGGGCTGTGATACTGCCCGGGTGCCCAAACCGAAGCAGTTGGTTTTCTTAGGGGGCCACACCCCGAGCCTTCGACCTGAAGATCTGATCCACAAGGCAGTGGAGCATCGTGAGGAGATGAAGTCCCATGGTAGCCTGTGACCAACGATTGGTTCATACGCCATTTGTTTCCTCAGGATACTGGAGCCCATGTGCACCATTGGTTTGGGATCCGGTTAAAGCGCCGGACATTCGCTTTTCGTCCTCTCATTTTTGTAAACAACACCCCCGCCACGAGAAGGCAGTGAGTAGGACTTCCCTGGCAGGGGCTGTATACGCGTGGCCATGTGAGAGCATTTCGAGAGGGGGAGCGGACTCCCCCCACTCTCGGCCGTACCAGGGCATTTGGGGGCCTCCATTACTTACATCCATCAGAGCTGTTTCCAGAATGTCATCGATGGCAAAGTTGAAGAGGAATGGTTAGATTGGGCAGCATTGTCTAACCCCACTGCTTGAATAGAACAATGGAGAAAGGTGGTTGTATGCCCTCACTCTCCCTGAGGTGTTTGTATATAGGGCCTTCAAGATGTTAATAAACTTCTCAGGCACACTCTTCTTCCATAGACAGTTCCAGAGAACAGTCTTGCCCGACGAATCGAAGGTGGCCCTAATGTCAAGAAACACTACGATTGTTGGCCTGTGATAAGTATGACGGTGTTCTAACATTTCAATAAATATCGTCATTTATTTGTGCGTGAGCTGTGATACTGCCCAGGGGCCCTGACCGAAGCAAGTGGTTTTCTTAGGGAGCCACACTCTAAGCCTTTGACCTAAAGGTGTGATCCACATGCAGTGGAGCAATATTAGGAGATGCAGTCTCATGGTAGCCGGTGACCGACGATTGGTTCATACGCCATTTGTTCCTTCAGGATACTGGAGCCCATGTGCACCATTGGTTTGGAATCAGCGTATCCAACTCCCCTGGGTGGACTCCGTGTCCACCGACCCGGTTAAAGAGCAGGACATCCGGTTTTTGTCCTCTCAATTTCGTAAACAACACCCCTTCCGAGAGAAGGCAATGAGTAGGACTTCTCTGGCAGAGACTATACACGTAGCCGAGCGAGAGCATTTCGAGAGGGAGAACTGAATCCCCACTCTCGGCCGTACCAGGGCTTTTGGGGGAACCTCCGTCTTCTCATCGCATTATCTGAATTTCAACTTTTACTTATTATTTTATGCCTTGTAAAACTCTGATGTCATTAACCCATCAAGGTCAACTTATTTAATAGTTTATAGGTGTATCTATTCACTATTCTCACAACTTAATTATTGAATGTAGCCTAACTTTAGCTTACGAGTTTGTTTGCACTATTCTGAGTGCCCATTTCATTAATTTTCAGATATTATCTGACTCGTAGGGTAGACGGCATTGTAATATATTCTTAACCTACTAAATATTTATTTCGTGGGATGAAAGCTAAGTCGGAAATCCAAATACTGTTCGTCATACACCTTCTCCTGTAACATAGCCTACCAGCCAGGAATCTGAAATCAAATCTGTTCCGAGCTTTCTTTTTTAGTTATTACCGAGTGCTCTTCATCGTCTTGATGTTTGCCTTTTATTCTCATCACCATGTGTTCTTTGGTATGTTTCCTCTTTTGTCTTGGCCATTGCAAGTTAGGGTTTACATTGCGATGCGGTCGGATGGTTTGTAAGATTCAGGTTTAGGTCGGTGTAAGTGCACTTATCTATGCTACTAGAATAATAGTCTTAGTCCTATAGTGTGAAATTTCCGTGATGGGACTCCCCAATCTATAAGATCTTATTTTGAAGTCGTATCATTGAAGGGTAAAACCATGCAGTGTCGGTTAAGTGTACTTGCATTAAGCACTCAGCAATAACTAGAAAGGAGAGCTCAGGACAAATTTGGTTTCAGATTCCTGGTTGGTGGGCTGTCTCAAGGGAAGTAGCTTCCCCGAATAAGTAAGTTATAGAACGCTAGATTTTTCTATTTTTGTATCCTAGGCTGCATTAGGGTTCATACTTTGAATGTTTGTTAGTGGTTAGTAGTTCTTGATTATCTCAATTATGAGAATCTGGTAACAGGTTCAATGTTGAAAGTAATTACGAATCCTAGTAATCAGTAGCTTGTAAGTGATCATAGAACTTTTGTTCTTGATCATTTGTTAGTGGCTTTGCAGTGTTGATTATGAGTAGTGTTAACCTAATTATTATTTTTATACATTTGTTCTTTGGAAATGCTTGGTTGTCTTTTAGAAAGTTGGAGTTCATTGTCAACTGGGTAGAGTTCGTGCGGGAACAATTTTAGCGTGCTATCTTGCCTACAAAAACAATCTTGATGCCGATCAAGCCATTATGGAATTGCGTCGACTTAGGCCAAAATCAATTGACGATGAACAGGAAGAAGCTGTGAGACGATATGTGAAATCAATCAAACAGTAATGACGTAAATTGGTTGAAGAAAATGTTACTCATGCAATAAATTGTAATTTAAATGGTTCCGTTTTAATGGGTCCATTCATGGTTACAGTAGGCAAAAGAATCATTAGTTGTTTTAAACCATTTCTTATTCTTATTTTATCATTTTTTGTCCGACAAGAAACACAGTTCTGTCATATTGACTGGAAATTTTATTTTCTAATATCTTATCTGTTCAGTAAGTTGGTCAGTGATACTGTCTATTTTTTGGTATTTACTCAGTCACTTTCTTAAGCGAATTATCAGTTCAATCAAATTAGTCATTCCGATAACTCATTATGTATTATGTTATCATAACACCTAACTATTCATGAAAACTACTAACCTTGTCTTTAATTGAAACTGTCTGCCCAATATTCTTCATTGTAGTATAACATTTCAGCATCAACGACTAGTGTAAGTTCACAATTATTCAATTGCAGAAGACTTGTTTAAACTCCTGAATTACCTACTTTGCCACTGTAAAAATTTGCAATACCGGTTTCCGTTTTAGTTTTGTTTTAATTGTTTGTACATACAGCTTATAGTACATTTATCATACTGAAACGTTGGAGTTAGTTGGAAGGAAAGCTTAGCTAAGGCTCATCAGGGAATTGTAATTTTGACCACAAAAATTCAGATGATGCTCATTTCGCACTAAATTAAATGTCAGTTTCTATTCACTTCGTTTGTGTTGCTTGTTTCAGTAAACATTTTGGACTGTAAATGCTTGGTTTTTTATAAAACATGTGTCTATTGCGTTTCCTAATTGGGTAGCGATATGGTAAGCCAATCAGAAGTAACCAAATGTAGTCAGACGATGGCAATCATTCTTGTGCCGTCGTCGAAGCAGTCAGTTCTGGGGCTAGCTTATAACACGTCATGTATCAGTATCATATTTCGGATACCACCTGTCATAACAGGCAATACCACTAAGTGTTTGTTAACATAACCTTGTGTATGGTCAAATGAGATTCACTTGATGCATCAGCGAATTTCAATAGATAATGATTCACTTTGTCGGATTCTGCATAATAGATCATGGATTTCCCTATGTTACTGGCAGTGTATGTAGTTTTAATGTTGTGATGCAAATTACAAAAACTAGTCGTCAAGTCAAGTCTGTGCAGTATCAGGATTTATTTTAGCTGTTCTAAATAATAATAATAATAATAATATACAACTACTGGTTTCTCGGATGGAATTTCCAAACAAAAGTATATATCGTTTTACGTCACTTAATTTCAAGTTCCATCAGATTTACATTTATTCATTATGACCTGTCATTATTTGTGATTGTCTTTTTCTAATCGGCAACCAGATAATTCGATGCACTTGCTAGCGTTAACTTTCTCATGTGTAGTTTCATTACTCTGTTGCTGTGATTCATATTGCGTTTATGTTGTCTGCGCTTATTTCGTTTGATGGTTTAGCTTCATTTTCTTGTTTAAACTTCTTAAGAAGTTTAAATTATCAAAAAAACCTGACTGTAGATTTAACCATTTTGAACTGCACATTGTAACTCTTGACAGTTGATCCTTTTGTTTTTACGACTTGTGAATTCAGATGTTTTTGCTTAAAAGCATGTTGACCACCTATTAAACAGGATTCATAGAAAGATTATGGTAAATTTTTAGTAAATAAATATTTTTATCTGTAATACAGTTAATTTAACATCATATAAAATATATTTCTACTTTAGCCAAATAATTTTCAATTTTGATTTCTTTTTCAGTTTTTGTCTTTCTCATATTTGTTAACATGTGGATTAGCACTGTTGAGACTCATTCAGTTCAAATGAGTAATTACATCCTGAAAGATATGCATAAAATTATAACTGTCTGAGGTCTTGGAGAGCATTAATTGAATTTTTTTTATTTTAAACATAACGTCTTAAGAACTAGCATGGATGACTTGCCAAAAATAAGTTCTCAGTTATACAGAGTAACAAAATAACGTTAGGTATGCTAGTCGGCTCCACTCAACGTGAATTGATGGTTCAATTGACTCAATGAAACTTCGATCTTACCACATTCAACCGACTTAGTTAGGCGTCGTAAAGTTATAGTTCATTTAAAAACTAGGCACTGTTTATCTACAATGTACCACTTAAACCCCGTTTACTGACAAATATATTTTACTTAGATGTATAAACTTGATGATATAACAGATTGTTCAAAATATTTCTCCCTTTCTCACAGGTATACTACAAAAATACGTTAATAAGACTAGTCACGTTTTATCAAAACAAGGATTCACGACCATAATAGAGAGCGATAGTACAGACCAAACTGCTTAATTCAACACAAGAAAAAGTAGTCACTCTCAGTGAGTCCGGTGTAGAAATCAATAACAGGAAAGGAAATCACATATTTAATAGTCAGTAAGCCTATTGCCTGGTTGTCCACGCTCAATGACCAACCACATTTTACTCTCACTACCACTATAGTTGGAGTTCACGAGTGAACTTCATTCGTCCTATAAATTAAGGCAGCTCGGATAAACGAATTGAGGAATTTGATTTATAAAAATATGTGTAAGTTTTGAATCCATAAA